AAATTTGAGCAAGGGGACTGGAATTTGGCACAGGGGTGTAATCGAGCATGCTGATCACCCCCAAGGGGGGTGATCAGCATGCTCGACTACCCCCTGTGCCAACTCCCAGCCCCCTAGCTCAAACTTTGCAAAAAAATCGATAAAATCGATAAAAGTAATCGATAATCCTGAAAACCAATATTGTATTCGGAATCCCCATGCTCGATTACCCCCCTGTGCCAACTCCCAGCCCCGTAGCTCAAACTTTGCAAAAAAATCGATAAAATCGATAAAAGTAATCGATAATCCTGAAAACCAATATTGTATTCGGAATCCCCATGCTCGATTACCCCCCTGTGCCAACTCCCAGCCCCGTAGCTCAAACTTTGCAAAAAAATCGATAAAATCGATAAAAGTAATCGATAATCCTGAAAACCAATATTGTATTCGGAATCCCCATGCTCGATTACCCCCCTGTGCCAACTCCCAGCCCCGTAGCTCAAACTTTGCAAAAAATCGATAAAATCGATAAAAGTAATCGATAATCCTGAAAACCAATATTGTATTCGGAATCCCCATGCTCGATTACCCCCCTGTGCCAACTCCCAGCCCCGTAGGTGAACTCAGCAAAAAAATCGATAAAAATCGATAAAATCGATATCGATCGATGACGAAAAGTAGCCTATGACACCCGCCGGGGCCCGTAGTGTATGTGTGCCAAGTTTGGTCCGGATCGGTTCAGAAATGGAATTTTCTATTCGGAACATACGTACACACAGACAGACAGACAGACATACAGACATACAGACAGACAAACAGACATTCAGCTTTATATATAAGATATAGCAGACTGTTATAACCAGGGTTGAGCAAGAGGTCAGGCACAAGTCTTTCCAAAACGACCCCCCCCCCCCCCAGTGAAAGCCCCTAAACGACCCCTCTGCTTCACCTCCAGGACCTCAGGCTGTGATAATTCGAAGAGATCAGCCGTTTTTGGGAGGTTCTTGTTTTTTGGAGGTCTGTAGGTCGACTTTCTGCTATTGCACAGCACACGCAACTTGACGGCAAGTTTTGGATTTTGGATAGCCCTACTTTTAGAGCTATAATTCCCACAGGGGTGTATTGCTTGGCTCCAAATTTGCAGTATTGCAAGAAGAGGCTTTGAGTTCAATACTCATAGCAGAAATAAAGCGATTTTTAGATTTTGAAAACAAGTTAATCGGGTCAGGCGCAACCCCTCAAAAGCTCAGGCGGCCTGACCTTTTGTGGGGTTGCGCCTGACCCGATTAACTTTATCATTGAAGAAGCTTTTTTATTCAAGTTTTATGTGAATCGCTAGCACAACCCTCGAAGATTCCACAGTAAGTGTTTGGACTTGATTCGACTTGTTTCGGCCTTGTGGTAATCCGTGGAGTTAAAGCAGTCATGGCGAAAAACGCGCCGGTCGGAATTTTGGCATTATTTCTTACTCCACTATTTGCAAGCGATACAAAGCGCATTTTTAACCTAGACTAGTGGGGAACAATGCTTTGTTACGAGTACAAAAAAATTGACTTTTCTCACTTTTGAAAACAAGTTAATCATGTTTGAAAATCACGCTTTTTAGTTGTTGAGGAACACTAGATAATGCAGTAAATAATGGTTTGTAGGGCTCATAGAGGTAATTTGACGTGCTCGGAAATGATACCCATTTCACACAGCAAGCTTCCTTGATGAATTTATAATATGTCAAGGTAGAAGATGAAGATTTGAGTTTTGGCCGAAACTTCGATTGTGAAATTAATCAGTATGCTGTTTAAGACCGTTCATTCCTTCAGTACTGGTGAGGTCGCGATATCCACTAAACTAGCGCTTTTCTTCTTCACCTCAATCGTAGTATCTCCTCAATCGAACGAATTCGATTTCTAATCACGACCCCCCCCCCCCTCTGTCTTACCCCAGTACGACCCCCCAGGTCGGGCGCGCCTGACCCCACGCTCAACCCTGGTTATAACTCTTTTTTCATTGACTGCTCTCTGCCACAAGGGTACCGTTGACATTAAAGCTGATAATGTAGATCTTTTGGGTAGAAATCCATGTTGTGCTTTGTGCACAAGATGGTTTCTAGTAAGAAATTCGCAAATCTGTTTACAAATTATTCTTTCAAAGACTTTGCTCACTGATGATGTTAAACAGATCGGCCTATAATTTCCGGCCTCAGCCTTGCAGCCCTTTTTGAAAATTGGCTTAACAATTGCAGTGCGCCATAAGGCAGGGGCTTCTCCAGAAGAAGAAATCTTTGAAATAGCAAAGCTAGTACTGGAGCTATTCCTAACGATGCTTTCCTAAGAAAAATATATGGGAGTTTATCAGGGGATGTGGATCTTCTAAGGGGGAGTCGCCTCAAAACTTAATATGTTACATAGGATCAACCTATGTTAAAGTAACAGTAAAACAAAATTTCAGAACAAAACGGAATAAACACAACAAAAGAACAAAGCAAAACAAACATTTGGTCAAGATAGCAGAAGGACCCGTGTTAGTCATAATACTTGTGCCGGACTGCAGATAACTCTTCAAGATGGTCTTGAATTGAGATAACTTTGCAGGAAACAATCCTTTCCTAATGAGCCTGTCCATATCAAAAACAACACGACAAGTGAAAAAGTTTTTGCGGACCTGAAATCTGGACCTGGGAATAATCAACTTACGATGCCCCCCTCATAGTGGAAACCGTGGTAGGGAAGAATACCTTGAACTCTAAACCACATTTACCATATGCAATCTTATGCGCCATTATTAGATCAAGTTTGTGTCTTCTATAGGCAAGCGTGGTGAGGTTAAGATTCATATTGCGTATCTTACCACTCGGTATCAAATCATAGATATAACCAGGGTTGAGCGTGGGGTCAGGCGCGCCCGACCTGGGGGATCGTATTGAGGGTAAGATGAGGGGGGGGGGTCGTAATCAAGAATCAAATTTATTAAGTTGGGGAGATACTGCGAAGGTGAAGAAGAAATGCGCTAGTCCGGTGGATACCGCGATACATGAAGGAGTGACGGTCGTAAACAGCACACTGATTGTTTCCACAATGGAAGTTTCAGCCAAAATTCAAATCTTCATCTCTTTTACCTTGACATATGAGGTCGACAAGGAAGCTTGTTGTGTGAAATGGGTATCATTTCCATAATCAGCATGTCAAATTACCTCTATGCGCTCTACAAACCATTACCTACTGCAGTTTCTAGTGTTTCACAACGTCTAAAAAGCGTGATTTTCAAACGTTATCAGCTTGGTTTCAGAAGTGAGAAAAGTCAGCTTTTGTATACTCATAACAAAGTAATGTTCTCTACAAGTCTATGCTATAAATCGGACTTCATATCGCTTCCAAACAGTGAAGTGAGAAGTGCTGCCAAAATTCCAACTGGCGCGTTTTTCACGTTGAGTGCTTCAACTTCTCGGATTAGCACAAGGCCGAAACAAGTCGAATCAAGCTCAAACACTTACTGTGAAATCTTCGAGGGTTGAGCTAGCGAATCACACAAAACTTGGTTAGAAAAGCTTCTTCGGAAGTAAAGTTAATGGGGTCAGGCGCAACCTCTCAAAAGATCAGGCCGCCTGAGCTTTTGAGGGGTTGCGCCTGACCCGATTAACTTATCTTCAAGAAACTCAAAACATTCCACTTTTCCACTCAAACTGTTGATTCATCCTTTCCCTCCCCACAGCCAAAATTTTATCCAATTTCATCACCCCTCGAAAAAGTTATCAGTGGTTAATCCTACCTATGTGCCCGAAGACGATCGTCGTTTTTTTGCCCGTTAATTTCGTCTACTGTAATACGCATCCCGTGCAATGTTTCTGCACGGGATTGAACGCGCCAAAATTCGTTTTTCGACCTCGTTCCATCGTTCCGTCCCTCTCACCAACTGTCACCAAGGTGTTTTTTTGTTCCTTTCCTATATTACTTTTTCTAGGCATGGGGAAAAACGGGTACGAAGCAGCACTGGACCATGCTTCAACATCAACCAAACCATCCATGATACCAAAGTGGCACTAGATCAGGGAAAACTATTGGTGGCTCGCAAGAAGTATGTGAAGTTTCAGCTCTCTTATTGACATCTAGTTGTGATCCACTTACCGACTCTTAAGCTTTTTCTGACATTTTGTATGTGTGTATCATCATTGAAGATATTTTCATGATCAAGAAATCAAATGTTTCCTACAAAACATACAACAAATTTCCTGTTGACACCAAAATAAGCAAACTGAACATTTTTGTAGGTCCGTAGTTCTGTTCGTTTTTTTTCTTTGTTGAAATATGTGTGCTTCAGATAAGCGGCATGACACTATCATTCTGCCAATTTTTGGGTTCCTGAATCATTTCACATCTCCATGATCAAGGTGCGCTTTTTATTTGCTACTTTTCCATAGCTTGCTACTTTTATTTGCTACTTTTCTTTTCTTTTCTTTCTACTTTTCGGAAAGTGTTTATTTTAAGAATTGCTCACAATCTGTGAAAGGCGATTTTACCGACACCCGTATAAACTTTGCCCATTCCGGCTCTCAGATTGGAAAAGAAACTGCAAAATTCCCAAATCCATTGGCTACTTACTTCAAAGAACTCAAATACAGTTTTGGCGTTGATTTTTATCTCTTCCGCTTGTACCTGTTGAACTACAAACCTTTGTTAGGGCAAGTAATGTCAAGGAGCACGGAGAAGCTTTGACAACCGCATTATTCTAGTTTTGGCGAGCCGCTGTGGCGTACCCTGGATCCACCCTCGAGTGGGCTTCTCCGTACCTCAGTTGATTTTGTCTCTGCAGAACCAAGTCAGCTATGGCTGCTTACACTTCATCAACTGCAAACATAATCGATATGAAACGGGCTCTACGATGATCTTGCATTTGACTTTGGTGACGGTGCGTTGTTCAATTTCTTTAGTTGATTGCAATGGCTTCTCACATGAGAACATCTTGATAAATTGAGTTCTCTACCTGTTGTATCTGGATCCCGCATTACGCGTATACTCTCACATCCAACAATGCTTTTGACCATCACCATCATCGCAGGCGATGACAGGAAAATTCGTTACTTTGGCAACTTACTTTCGCTCAAGTAGGCCATTCTGCTTTTCTTTTCATCTTTTCATCTTCATCTTCATTTTCATCTTTATCTTTTCATTCCTTAAGGGAACGGCCATAGGTTATCGGCAACGGTTGTCGAGGTTGCTGGGATTGCCGACGTTGCTGAAGCTGCTGAGGTTGCCGCGTTGGCGGTTGTTGTAGGACCACATAATAGCCTCCACCTTTCGCGCGCTCACTAAGCTGTCTCTGACCCCGGCAACGCTGGCAACGTCGGCAACCCCAGCAACCTCGGAAACATCGGTAACCGTTCTCTAAGCTACATTTTCATTCAGATATTCTAATGCTAGTGATAAAGAGGCACCGCCTGAGGAACGCTTTCATGAACTCGGTGACGTGAGCTGCTTGAAAGGTATGTGGATAGTTCAAAGGATTTCTTTTTGCCATAGGTCAGTGGTGAAGTCTGACAATGTCATAGAACATATTTACCCTATTTTCAGGTGTATAAGCCGCACCCTTTTCGCTCTAAAGGCGAACACGCCAAAAGACTGACTGTCATCATGGAGCTTAAGTGAGAGCAGTATGCGATAAGGCGACCGCTTCGCGAGACATATGCGCGGCGGCATGCCTGGATCAGCTCGCTTTTAGAGCAAAAAGGGTGCGGCTTATACACCTAAAAATAGGGTACAAATCTTTTTTTACATCAACTAGGTTTTCTTGAAGTTGAGCTGAATAACATGCTAGTTTCGTTCATCGGATATTTTCAGTTCTTTTTAGGATGGATCGTGGGGCGTGCGTATTCGACAAAAAACGAAGTGGGGGAGATGAGGGTGGGAGGGCGGGCCTCCTTTTTTTGGAAAGAGCACAGATGCTGGACTATTGCTTGGAGCTCTCAACAAGCTGCACTCTTACGATTCACAAATTTTTTTTTCTTGAAAAAGTGTTGCGCTTTGGTTTTAGTTCTGTTTTGCTAATAAATTTTTTTGTAATGTAAAAATGTACACAGAAAAGAGAGGGGCAGAGGTGGGGGAGGGGGGAGGAGGGAAGAAGGGGGGTCGTGTTTTAGCGTGGGGAGGGGGGGGGGGGCATATTTGGCGACCTTGCGTCTGATCTCTTGCTCAACCCTGGATATAACCAATCTTGCGTATAAAGAGTTTGCGTGTGAAAGTATTCTGAACCTTTAATGTAATCAGCGGTTTTATGAACATATGTATTATATATTACGGTGCCATATTCCAGCATAGGCCTTATGAAAGATTTATATGCTCTCAAAAATACCATCGTATCGTTTGTTGAGAATGAGTTTACTGCTCTAGTAGCTTTATCAGCTATTGCCTTACAATGGTCATCAAATGTAAGATTATCTTTGACTGAGAGTCCAAGGTCTCTTTTCGTTGTTACGTTTTGAAGGTGAGCACCACCCAAATAGTACTGAAAATTTGAGTTGCAGTTCCTTGGGGCAATATGAGTACTTCAGTTTTTTCCATACAGATAGGCAACGTCCACTCCAGCGACCATTTATAAACTTTTAAAAACTATAAATTTTAATAAGAAAATTATGAAAGCCTCAAATAAGTACCATGTTCATCTTGAGAAGAAGCTGACCTTGACCAACAATTCCAATGGGCTTTTTCGCTACATAAAAACGCATATCAAAGATAATCTTGGTTCTTATCCTTTGAAAGATAGCTCAGGCAATCCCCTGTCTCGAAATTCAGATAAGGTATCTCTATTGGCTGGTGAATTTCAAAAAGCCTATAGCAGTACTTTGTCTCCTAGTTCTTGCTGTTCCCCCTTGTATCCGGAAATGGATAAAACTCTTTGGTTTCATAGAGAGAAAATTGTCAGCATCCTTTCTAAATATCCAGACTCCTTTACAGTTACTCCTGATGGAGTACCTCTGTACTTTATCAAAAGGGTGCTGCCTGAAATTGGTTTTGCGCTTGAGTTCCTCTTCAATCTTTCTTACATGAGAGGAGAGGTTCCAAACAGGTGGAAACACTCGATAGTAACCCCAATTCCTAAAAAGCCACCCTACGACAGCCCCAAAAATTATCGCCCCATAAGCATAATGTCTATCTTCTCCCGAACCTTTGAAAAAATACTCAAGGATCAGATAGTTATGCACCTTGAAAAATATTCTATCATCCCTACTTGTCAGCATGGCTTCTGTAAAAGTAGATCAGTGGAGACAGCCGAGTTGGTGGCTATGAATGATTGGACGTTCGCAATTGATAGGAGTTATCAAACTGATGTCATATTTTTGGATTTTTCCAAAGCTTTTGACAAGGTTCCAACTTCAAAATTGCTGTCTAAACTTAAGCTATTAGGTGTACATAATTTTGCATATACATGGATCGAAAATTTTCTGAGTGGCCGAACGTTTCAAGTTCATATCGGGAATGATTATTCAAAGTCTTATTCTATTTCCAGTGGTGTTCCACAAGGTGGCGTATTGTCACCTATTCTCTTTCTTATCTATACTTTTGATTTGCCTAGCATTGTCGAAGCTGAGGGCTGCAAATGTGTGATGTATGCAGATGATGTAAAAGTATACAAAATTATACGCAGCTCTTCTGACATGGAGTCATTGCAGTCTTGTATCAACTCGGTTTCTCGTTGGTCTAAGGAATTTGAACTGCCTTTAGCCCCACACAAAACCAAAGTCATGTCATTGGGTGGCAAGACAATAGATTCATCTTATAAAATTGATGGAACCGCTCTGATCAAAGTTACTGAAATCAAAGATTTGGGCTTTACCTTCAATGATAAGCTTCAGTTCACCGGCCACTACAGCGCAATTGTTTCCAAAGCCGTTTCCCGAACGTACAATTTGTTCAAGGCACTTCGTACTTCAAACCCCAACGTCTTAGTTAGAGCTTACAAAATGTATATACGACCCATGGTTGAATTTGGCACCGCTGTTACTTCACCGCATAAGGTCCGTGATATTGCTGCCATTGAAGGTGTCCAGAACAATTTTACTCGAAAGGTGTTCTTGAGAATGTTAGGTCCCAACTATTCTCTCATACCAGTGAGCCAAGAACGTGCTAAATTGTTATCTCTTCCTAGCTTAGCGCTTAGAAGGAAGAAGTTCGATCTTTCGATGGCTTTGAAGATCTTAACTGGTAGATGTAAGATTGGTTCAACCAGGTTTTTTGACGTTTATCCTTCAAGGACCAGAGGGGGTGCGTTGAAACTCAGAGCCCCAAAAGCTAAAACACTTGTAAGATCAAAGTTTTTCGCTGCAAGAATACTGCCTGACTTAAATAAATTGCTAACCCAAGACGCTTTTCAAACTACATTGGCCCAAGTCTTTACACTTGCAAGTCATCCCACTTCCTGATCACTGATTGATTGCATTTGTTTATCACTTGTTTTCATTTCGTTTGTTTGTTTGTTATTGCTTTTCCTCTCTTTACTTTATTGTTCATTTTTCTACCTCTGGTTCGTTGGTCTCTTGATTTTCAGGTTATTTCTTGTTCATACTATTAACATGCGTGTGTGAGCACGTTTCAATAAATAAATAAATAAATTTAACTTCACTAAGTGCGTTCTGTAATAAATTGTACCCAGAATCATCTCATACGATAGTATACAGCTAGAAGTCGTCGGCGAAAGCGCAACAGAGACACCCTTACGAATAGGAATAGTAGGAAGCTCATACGTATAGATATTGAACAGAATAGGGATAGTACTCCACCTTGTGGAACGCCACTGCACATTTTCCTAAGTTTAAAAAAAGCGGAGTTAATGCGCACCACGAAAAATCTATCTTCAAGAAAAGCCTTGATCCAGGCAGTGATGCGAGGATGGATGCCTACCATTATTAACTTTTCTATCAATTTAGCGTGGGGTTACTGATAGGGCGAAAATTTGTTGGAGAAGTGAACGGCTTTTTTTTGGGATTAGTGTGACGTAGGAAATACGCCACCTATCTGGCACTTGTGCTTTCGTAAAACTAAGGCTGAAAAGAAACTGGAGTGGCGCAGCTATAACATGAGCTATTGATTTTATAAGGTGCAACGGTTTCACTTTATCAAATTCATTCCAACTTTCAAAGTTACCATTACGAACTGCTTGGTGCCATGCGCTCTCCCTTCTGTTATGCAGAGTTCTTAAATAACCAGGTAGGTTAGCTGTTCGCAGTGGTACCGAGACTAGAGGGACATACAAATCAATTGCGTGGTGAATTACAAACAAAAATAACTCAAACATTTCGTTTATGTCATTGGCTAAACTAAGAGAACCTTGCTATTCAATACTTGTTAATTAAAGAATCAAATTTTCTAAGTCGGCGTTTTTGCAATCTCTACGTCGATATATTTAGTACGGACAGTGGTATAATTAAGCGAGAACCAAATTGCGGCGTGGTCACTTGAACCTATGGGAGCCCTTATTTGTACTTCGCCGACTAGCTCATTGTCATTGGTCAGAATTAAGTCGAGAGTATTATTCCTCCGGGTACTGAAACGCACTCTTTGGGACAAGCCATATATTTGGCACATTTCCAAGAAACTCCTTGAAATTGCACCGCTGGCTCTTGCGTAGTGGTCTGCCCAATCGGTACAAGGGAAATTGAAGTCCCCCAAAAGTAACAAGGAGTTTCTGCTTCTCAAAAGATCGGTAATCGTTTTAACCATTTGTTCAATTTTGATAGTGCTACATGAGGGGGCCCTGTACAGAAGTATGATTCGGACTGAAGTTTAGGAATTAATGTCAGTGCATAAAATTTCATAGCTATCAGGCTCGGACTCAGTGAAAACAAGATGAGGATTGAGGTTGCTCCTAACTATGAGTGCAACTCCCTCTCCTCTTTTACTTGCTCGGTCGCACCCATGGATGACATAATTTTCGAGGGCGCCGAGAAGTGAGTTATCGCTAATATCTCCATTTAGCCAAGTTTCAGTTATTCCTATGAATGCCAGGTGATTTCTATTAATTTTAAATGCTAGATTGCTTATGTTCTTGCAAAGGGACCCCAAATTAGTCAGCATACAACTCAAAGAGTGGCCCACAGTCCGATGAGTATTCATACATTAAAGTATTAGGCTGGAAATTAAGTTTTGCAACTAGTTTCATAACTTCACTCTCTTTGGATATGGCGCACTCAAACTCTGGCATTATGTAGAAGGCAATGTGAGCTACAAGTGAGCACAAATTGTCTAAATTTTGAACACGAAATAAAAAAGTTTCAGGCGTTTTTCGAAAACTAGTGAAATTTGAGAATTTTTGGGGTTTCAAGCTAAAATGAAGCCTTTAGCAGCCTAGGCTATGCGCAGTAATCCGGATTCGTCTAAAACTTATTGCTGGAGGTTGACTCCTTTGGCCTAGTAAGAAAGAAGCAAAATTTAGGGGCATGTCGAGATTTGGCGTCCTCATAAAGTCGAACGAGTTGATGTACGCAAGAGC